TGACTCACCCTCAGAGTGATTGTATGGGTTGAGTACAGCGCTGCATAGCTCAGTGCCTGCTGGCGGGCCACCACCTGAAGCAGAGCGAGGCCCAGTGGCCCAGGAGGACTCGAGGGGGGCCAGGAGCAGAGGGTTCCTTGGGAGACATGTTCACCCTCTTCCCAGGCAGGCTCGGGGGGGACACAGGTAGTGTTGAACCAAGATTCAGAGCTGTAAGGCAGGTGGGGCGGAGCCTAGCATATGTATTTAATTCTCTTCTTTAACATGGAAAACTGGAAAAAATATATGTATGTATATAGAAGTAGGGAGAATGGCAGAGCAACCCCCCATCCCCAATCCAGCTTCAGTAGTTGCCGACTTGTGTGCCATGTTTTCTCATCTCTGCCCCCGGGAGTGTTTCAAATCAAGTCCTGGATGTCGTATCTTATCATCTGTAAATATATCAGCGTGTGCCTGTAAGGGAGAGGACTCTTTAAACAAAACCCTACCGGCAGTATCATCATGCCTAGAAACTGGTCAGTTAATAGTTCCTTAATATCGTCACATCCAGTAATGTCAGTTTCCTCCGTCGTCGCAGACACACACACACAGAGTCAGCTCTCCGTGTCCAGGAGCCGTCCGCTGCCGGTACTGGGGGATGACTCTGTGTGTGTGTGTGTGTTTGTATACATGTATTTTTAAAAATAATCTATTCAAATCAGGATTCCAGTGAGGTCAGTGCATCGCTCTTGATTGCTGTCTCTTAAGCCCCTTAAAATCTTTTTTCTCTCCCTCTCTTTCCTCCCTCCCTTGCAATTTTGAGAAGAAGCTGCACTGTTTGTCCCACAGGGATGTTGCTGGCAGCCCGCGGGGATGTTGCTGGCAGCCCGCGGCGATGTTTCAGTGTTTCCTGGCATTTCCTGTAAACTGGCACTTGGATCTAGAGCCATGATCACATTCAGGTTTAACTTTATTAGTTTTTAAAGCCCAGCCTATGTGTGTGAACCCCAGGGCCTCACAAGGGCACGTCAGACGGCCCGGGGACAAGCCCCAGCAGGGCAGAGATGGCTGGGTGACAGCCTGGGCTTGGCAGGAGCTGGGAGACCCCACAGCAGGGCTGGTTCCTCTGCTCTCACAGCCAGGCAGGGAGGTAGCTCTGGGTGTGGGGAGGAGGGAGCGTTGGCCTCTCCCGACAGGAACTCCGAGTGTGGTCAGTGGCCACGGGGCTGTGGTCTTGGCCTTGGTGTGCCCTACACCAGGGCCAGCCTGGCCCCTCGGGCCCCACGCCCCTTGCCTTGAGGAGTGCAGGCAGGCATGCCGGGTGCACGGCCTGGACTCCCCGCCCTTTGGCGCTGTGGATGGGTGTGCACGCCGCGGCTTTTGGCGCTGGCACCAGTTTGGCCAGTTCCTCTGCATCTTAGTTTGCCGAGGCTGGAGAGATGCTGGCTCGTGCCCAGTGGCCTAGGAGTGGGTGGCTCCTCCTGGCCTGGCCTGAGAATGCTTGAGTCTAGCAGGCGGCTGCCAGTGCTTAGAGTGGGGCCACTCTGGAGTCCAGCTGGAATAGCCATGGCTGTTACCCCGGGGCTGCCGGCCGACCGCCTGTGACTCTGCCAGTCCTCACGGAGCTACTGCTGGGCCTTGGAGGGAGGTGCTGCCACGTCCCAGCCTCTCGGGAAGCAGGTTTTCCAAAGGGGAGTCCAGGAAGAGACCAGGAGCCAGCCCTCTTGGGAGTTCCTAAGCATCACAGGTCCCAGGTCTCACCCAGAGGGAGCACCAGTTAGCAGCCATCCTCAGCGTGCTGTGACTCACACGGCAGCGTTGCTGGCGGCAGGGCGCACGTGGGGTGCTTCAGGGCTGCAGGTGCCCTTCCCTCCGGGAGCCGTAAGGAGCACGGCCTGGTCTCCTCCTGCTGTGCTCGCCCTCCCTCTTCCATGTGTGTGGGCGCGAGGAGCCTCTCCAAGATCCAGGGCGTCCGGAGGGCACCTGCCTGGGGCGAGTCCTGGCTCTGCTGCTGACCAGATCTCAGCCCTCTGTTTCGGTTTCTTCATCTGTGACATGGGGACACTAGGAGCTTTGTGTTGGGGACTGTGAAGCATTCACATGTGTGAAGTGCTTAGAATCCCGCCTGGCTGTGGTCGAGGCTCCGCAAATGCTGCGTGACACGGTACGGTCAGTCACGTCTCACACTGTTGCTGCTGCCATGGCTGTTTCACCTTTGTGCCCTGACTGTAACGTTAGAGACCCCTCCTCAGTCTTGGTCACTGCTGTGAACACATGGTAGGCACCAAAAATGCACCCTTTTAAAGTGTGCCAATCTGGTGGTTTTTAGTATATTCACGCCATAATTTTCTAATTCCAGAATATTTTTATCACCCCAAAGGAAACCCCATAACCCGTGAGCAATCACTCCTTATGTCCCCCTGACCCAGCCCCTGGCATCCACTAATCCACATCCTGTCACTGTGGATTTGCCTGTTCTGGACATTTCACGTGAACGCAGACATATAATTTGTGGCCTTTTGTGTCTGTCGTCTTTCTTTAGTGCTGTGTTTTTGAGGTTCATCCACGTTGTAGCCTGTGTCAGAGCCTCCTTCCCTTTCAGGGCAGAGTAATATTCCACTGTGCGGCCGGTCCACACTTGGTTTCTCCATTCATGTGTCCATGGACATTTGTGTCGTTTCCTCTTCTTGACTGTTGTAACACTGCACTCACCATCAGATTGGTATTAACTGACTGACACTTAAGTGCTCGTATAGTAGAACCTTCATCGGGTGTCGGGCAGGTGGAAGGGGGAGGAGGGGATGGTATATGCATATTTAATGGGTGCGGTGCGCACTGTCTGGGGGATGGACATGCTTGAAGCTCTGACTTGAGTGGGGCAAGGGCAATATACGTAACCTAAACATTTGTACCCCCGTAATATGCTGAAATAAAAAAAATTAAAAAAAAATAATGCCTGGAACAACAACAACAAAAAAAAAACCACTGCACGTGAACATAGGTGTCAAGTTTTGTGTGAACACATCTTCGTTTCTCTTGGGGATATGTCTGGGAGCTGGTGTGTGGTTCATATGCTTGGTCTGTATTTGACGTGCTGGCTGCCAGACAGTTTTCCAAAGTGGCCGTGCTAGTTCACATTCCCTCTAGAGCGCACAAGGGCTCTATTTTCTCCACATCGACAACACTCATTTTCTGGTTTTTTGTTGTTTTTTTTTTTACCGTAGCCATCCTAGTGGGTGTGCAGTGGTGTCTCATTGTCGTTTTGATTTGCATTTCCCTAGTGACTGGTGACGTCGAGCAGTTTTTCATGCACTTTTTGGCCATTTGTATGTCTTTAGAGAAATGTCTATTCATATCCGTTGCCCATTTTTAAATCATGTAATTTTTCTTTTTATTATTGTAAAATTTATTTTGTATGTTCTGGATACTAAACCTTATCGGAGTAATGACTTGCAAATGTGTTCCCTCCTTTCTGCAGCTTGTCTTTTCACTGTCTTGATGGTGTCCTGTTTTACAGCACAAACTTTTAAAATTTTGATGAAGTTTGATTTGTCTAATTTTCTTTAGTTACCTGTGGCTTTGGTGTCATACCTAAGAAACAAAAATATTTAAAGAAAAAAATTAGCCAGGCATGGTGGCAAACACTTTGTAGTCCCAGCTACTTGCAAGGCAGAGGCAGGAGGAGGAGGATCGCTTGAGCCCAGGAGTTGGAGGCTGCAGTGGAGGCTATGATTGTGCCGCTGCGCTCCAGCCTGGGCGACAGAGCCAGACCCTGTCTAAGAAAGATTTGCCCAATCCAGCGTCACAATGTATACCTCTGTTTTCTTCTGCGAGTGTTATAGTCTTGGCTCTTACGTCTAGTCTTTGATCCTAGATGAGTTGTTTTTGTGCGAGGTCGGGTCCACCTTCATTCTTTGGCGTGTGGATGTCCAGTCGTCCCAGCACCATTTGTTGAAGAGACGATTCGGTCCCCATCGGATGGCCTTGGCGCCCTCGTTGAACCCCAGTTGCCCGTAAACGTGAGCGCCCATTGTTCAAACTCCAGTTCCTCAGTGTGACACTTGGGCTTGTCGCAGTGGGGTTCTCGCATTCCCCCCACCCCATTTTCCTTACTAGCCTGGCGTTGCTGCCCCAGGAGCACATCTCCGTTTTGTGGGGCCTGAGGCTTATCTGATGTGGGGTGAAGCGGACTCTTTACGGGAAAGTATCTTGCTTTGTCAAGGTTCACAGAAACTTGACCCTGTGCACTCCCTCCGGGGCCCCAGAAGGGACTGGTGCAGGCAGCCCCTTCCCAGCAGGCCGGCCTGTGCCCTGAGCGCCGCAGCCTTTTCCGTGGACGCCACGTCGCTCGGTCAGAGCCTTGCTCACTCACGGCCACTCCTCACTCACTTGTCCCAAAGGTCCATCGAGCGCCTGCCCCACGCCAGGTGCTGTCTGCGCTGCAGGGCAGGAACCGGAATGAAGGTCCCTCTCTTGTAGGGTGGCGAGGGTGCAGGATGGCTCCTCGTATGGGCAGAGCCTGTTGGAAACTGGGTCGTGATCTTGCGTCTGTGTTCTCTGCGACCTTGCATTCTGGTCCCTGTCATTTGCGTCTGTGTCTTAGGCTCCCTGTTGAGCGTGGCCCTTGCTGGGAAGGAAACGGGGGTTGAGGTGGTGAGATCAGAGGCTGGGGTGAGGTCTCAGCACTGCCACTTGTTAGTTTTGTGTCTTTGAACCTCAGTTTCCCCATTTGTCAGTGGGTCCCTTGAGGGGTGAAAGGGACGTGACCGTCACTGTCTCTGCCAGCGGCAGGAATGTTCCTGCTAAGTGTCTGAGCACACTGTTGTTAATGATCTTCACTTCTGTAGGTTGAGTTGTTTTGAGGAAGAGGAGGCACCAAGAGCGGCACAGAGGAGGGTCTGGGGGGAGGAGGAACGGAGGCAGGTGAAGGAGGGAGGAGGGAGCTCCGTCCCTGTCCCCTCCCTCGCTGCGACCTCCTGCCCGCCCCTCTGACATGGACTTCCTTGTTTTTTTTGTTCCAGGAGGAGCCGCGGAAGGTTTGCTTCACCTATGACCTGTTCCTGAACCTGGAGGGCAACCCGCCCGTGAACCACCTGCGCTGCGAGAAGCTCACCTTCAACAACCCCACCACTGAGTTCCGGTACAAGCTCCTGAGGGCTGGCGGGGTGAGTGTGCCCCAAGCGGGCGGGCCCCCGCCCTGCCCGGCCCAGTGGCCGCTGTGCTGGCCGAGGCTGCCCTGGCCTGGCTCCCGTGCTGGAGGCATTGCTGCTGGGGGCGCCTTGGGATCTCCTGGCGCAGGTGCAGGTCGCACAGGTAGTGCCTGGCGGAGCTGGAAGGGGCCAGGTGCTCGGAGTCCGTGTGGGGCGTGGGCGGCTGTGGATGAGTTGCGGTTGTCCCGCGGCTTCCCGGGCGGCTGTGGTTAATTAGCATCTTCCTGCAGGAAGTGGCCGGGAAGGAATGGGCGCGAGGCCGGTCTGTCCGCGTGGCCAGGCCCGGAGCCGGCTCGTAACCAGCCTGGCAGGGCCACCTGGGGAGGCGGCAGAGGCTCCTCTGCGGAGGGCCCTGCCCTGACGTGTGCGTTGCCCGTCCCCCTTGTCCCGGGAGGCCAGACGGCAGCGTCAGCTGAGCACTGGGGCTCTCCAGTGAGTCGTGTGGTGGGATTCCTGCGTGGCGGCCTGAGAGGAGCCGCTGGGCCCAGCAGGCTGGGCGCGGTGCGGGCGCCAGGTGGCTTGTGGAGGACGGGATGCCTGGCTGCAGGGGGACGTCGTGTGGAGGCATGTGCAGGCCTGGTCACGGCACAGCCACCTTCAGTGACCCAGGGTCACAGAGCGTTTGCCTGGATGTCAGCCTGTGTCTCTGATGGAGTGGGCCGGGTTGTGTGCATGCGTATGGGGTATGTGGGAGAGGTGTGTGTGTTATGTGTGTGTGGCATGTGTCACCTGTGTCGTGTGTATGTGCTGTGTGACATGTGGGTTGTGTGAAGTGTGTGGCATGTGCCACATGTATCGTGTGTGTTGCCTGAGGGGTGTGTGTCATGTGTCACGTGTTACATGTCACGTGTGATATGTGTTGTGCGTGGCATGTTTATGCGTGGTGTGTGGCATGCCACGGGTGGTGTGTGTGGTGTTCATGTGTGGTGTGTGATGTGTGTGTGGCGGGGACAGGCCCACGTCCCGAGGGAGGGGGCTGCAGTGGGTGTCTCGGGGCAGCCCTTTGCTCCCCGCTGAGTACGGATGGGTCTGCGATGAACTTTGCCCTTTTTCAGTGAAGGGAATAGTGTGTCCGTGGTGGGAGGTTTGAGCACGTCCTGCCGTGTTCCTAATAAAGATGCCTCGTGATCCTAATCGGCAGGTGAGGGAGGTGCCGGGCGGGTCTGCGTGGACAGCGCAGGTCCAGCGCCCTCCCGCCTCTGCCTCTCCGCCTGCTTCTTGCGCCCTGGACTTCCCACCTCGTTCGCCCAAGTGTCTCTGGGCCTCCTGAAGCCTCCGTAGTTGCATTTCTTTGGGAAGCAGCTCCTGGGCCACTTGGGCTGCAGCCAGGTCTTCGCGCCCGTGGGCGGCGGTTCCCTTGCTCACAGGAGAGGAAGGCTCTGAGGGCGAAGCAGCCACCGAGGGGTGAGGAGGAGGAGGAGGAGGAGGAGGAGGAGGAGGCTGGGAGGAAGGTCTGGCTCAGCCTGTGCAGAGCTGGGAGGGAGGGAGCGGCCTTGGCCCTGGCTGGCAGAGCGAGGTGTGCAGGCACTGTGGGTGGTCTCTGCCCCGGGCACCGTTCACCCACAGAGGGCTGCCCAGGGCTGATGGTCAAGGCGTTCTCCAGCCTCGGGAGCAGCCTGAGGCCTCCGTGGGATGGTGGCTCCTGTGAAGTGCTTCCCAGGACCAGGTGACCGTGCTTCTGTGTTCGCCGTCCTGAAGCCCAGAGTGTCTGTCCGGCAGTGAGTGGCCGCAGCCCCTGCCCGCAAGGCTGTCGGTGCTGGCAGAGCTGGGGGAGGTGCCTTCCTCATGCCCCTTGCCATGGAGTCACTCGCAGCTGTTGAAATTCCTCACTCACAGCTCCAGACGCTCCCTCCAGAGTGACCAGGGTGGGACTTCCTGCTGTTCCAGCCCTGCCCCTCAGGACTATCTCTTGTCCCTGCCCTGTCGGTCCAGGGTCTGTGTTTCCATCCGGGGAGATGGGTCCACGCAGCAGCACCCTGTCGCAGGTAGGAGCGGATCGTTGGTTCACTGTACCTGTTCTTTTTGCTGAGGGGATCTGTTGCAGAGGAGCGAGGCCGGGCGTTATCCTGATGTCGGTGTCAGTCTCGGACGTTGATCACAAGCGCCTGAGGGTGGGTTAACTCGAGGGCGCGCCCGCGCCTCCTGGAGAGCAGCCCGCCAGCTGCTGGGCCCCGGCTCTCCCCAGAGCACGGAGGCTCTGCGGTGCCGTGTGTTCAGGGAACTGGTACTGTCCAGGCACAGCTGGGGGCAGATGTGCTGCAGGTCCTGCGCTCCGTGGTGTTGTGGTCAGACAGGATCTGAAGAGTGGCCTGGACTTGATAGCCTGGGGGCATTTGTGTCCCTGTGACTGTGTTACGTCAGCATCCTCATAGGAAGGGATTGGTTTCCGAGGAATCATAGGTGCTCGCGGGTATTCGTGGCGCTGCTTTGGCTGAATTCAGTACTTTTTGTTAAGTGCGTTTTCTGCTTTTGTCCCATCCGGAGGCCACATGGAAGGATTGTCTGCGTGATTGGCCCCAGTGGTCACGTTAATCTGCAGTGTTGGGATTTCGCGACCTTGCCCCGGGCTTCCTCTCCCTGCAGCCGGTGTCCCAAGAGCCTCGTTGGACCCGGGCAGGTGTTTCCTGGGAGCACCTCCTGGAGGGACTGTGGCCTTCTGACATGGCCGGACCGAGCGCCTCCCCCTCCAGGCTGGCCACTTTGCTTGTGCACCGCCGCTTCTGCAGAAAACTGCAGCTCCCTACCCCGTGGAGGCCGCCTCCTGCCGTGGTCTCGCCACTTGCGCTCTGGGTCAGCTTCAGTCACCTGCAAGAGCTGGAGGGCTCGTCCCGCCGGGCATGTGGGACCCGCCAAAGTTGCAACCGTGCAGACCCTTTGGAGATTGCTCTCTGCCCCATAGCTGCCTGCCTCGGGTGCCCGCTGGCTTCTGGCCCTTCCAGACCGTGCCTGTGGTCTCTCTGAGCCTCCACACGTAGATCGGACTTTGGCCGCAGCTGCCTCCTCATGCTTCTTGGCGCACTCCGCCAGTCTTCTCGACCGGCCCTCTGGTCCGCTGCGCCCTGGGGGCCGTGCAGCCCAGCCATCCTGGGACCCTGGGCTTCTCTTTGCTCTCCGCCACTGAGCCCGCTTAGCCCGAGTGCTCAGCATGCAGCCCCCACAGGGGAAGCACCTGCAATTCTTCCGGGAAGCGGAGCTCAGGCGCTCCCTTCTCCCCTCGCCCCAAGAGGGAAGCCCCTGCCTCGGCCCACGTGGCCTCCTTCCTCCTGTCCGGGTGGCCCCTGCCCGTCGATAACGCCTATCTCTTCTCTGTCACTAGGTGATGGTAATGCCCGAAGGAGCAGACACGGTGTCCAGGCCCAGCCCCGACTACCCCATGTTACCCACAATTCCACTCTCTGCCTTCTCTGACCCCAAGAAGACCAAACCGTCCCACGGCTCCAAGGTTAGTGAGGTGGAAGGCCCAGTCGCGTGGGGGCTCCGGGCGCCCTCCCCACGCCGAGCTGGGCCTTCCGCACCTGCACTCGCTCCCTTGGTGTCTTCCTCTTCGAGCTCTCTGTGCTCTCCCTTGCTGCTCACTGCCACTTCCTCACGATTTCAGGAATAAGCCAGGTGATCGCAGGCTCTTTGCCCTGTCCGTCTTGAGGCCAGAGACCCTGCCCTGTCCCCTCCCCTCCCCTTGAGCTCGGGCTGGGCCTCAGGACTGCTGGGCCCGAAGCCCCAAGAGCGCGTCTTCCATCCTCAGCCGCGGCTGCCGCCTTCGCGGCTTTCCCACGCGCCACTGGGCTGCCCCTGCTCTCGGCCGTGCCGGGCTTTCCTGGGGGCAGGGCGGAGGTGTGTGGGGGCCAGCCAGCAGGATTCTGAGGAGGAAGAAGCAATTTATCGTCTCATCTCGACCCAGTCGGGCAGCTGGCACTCAGCCTTCCTGAGGCCTCTCTCTCTCTCTGAACCGTCCCAGAGTGGCTGCTCCAAGGACGAGCTAGAAAGCCCCTCGGATGGTATCACCTTGTCCCTATAAACGCGAGAGCGCACCTTCCATTCCTCTGCAGCTGCCCACTTAGCGCCGCCATCCCTGTGGGGCCCTCGGGCAGCTCCTGGGCGTCACGTCCCCGACCCCACGCGTCTCTCCACTTCTCTGTGTTCTTCTTGCTTCACTTGCTTAGGGCTGGGGGTGTTGCAGGCCTGGGACGCCCCGGGCCGGACAGGCAGGGCTCTCGGCTGTCTTACCGCCTCCTGCGTGGGCCCAGGCAGGGGCTTTTGGCCCTTTCCACAAGACCAGCAGGTCTCGGAAATCCTCAGATCCATCAGAGTCTTGGGTAGGGGACATGGCCCTGGGGTCTCCCCAGGCCAGTTTTCCCTGCGCCTCACGGAGGTGAAATGAAAGGAAAGTTCTTGCTAGGGGTCTCGGCTGCTTCCTTCTCAGCCACACACGGTTCTTTGGAAGTCCATGCAAAACAGGAAGAGAAAGCATTGCTATTTCTTCTGTCCTGGTCATTCGAAAGTCACCATTCGAAAGAAACGCTGTGGAGAGATGTCCTCCCTGTAGCCTGCAGAGCTTCATCAGCCAGGGCTGCTCATGGCGTCTCTAGGAGTGTCTCTGAGACCCCCGGGAGCCCTGAGCCAGGGCTGTGTGTCTGCCAGGCTCAGGAGGCTGTGGGCAGAGTCGCTGGCTCTGCCCTCTCTACATTTGGGAGCCTTCTCCAGCCACCTGGCACGGACACTTAGGAGGCATCTGTGTAGGTTTCTCAGGCAGCACGAGGTCCTGCCGAGCGGCTTCTGTCTAAGAAAGCCCCTCGGCCTTGTTATCACAGTCGTGGCGTCGGAGCCGTCACCCTTGCTGTGTGAGCCCGCGAGCCACCTCTTCCCCAGCTGAGACCTTCCTTTGGGCGCTGGCCTTTTGCCTGGACAGTCGCAGAGAGGCCTCAGCCCGGCTCACTGAGGCCGGGAGGGAGGGGACGGGGTGGGCCTTTCGGGGCCTTTGCTTGCCGGAATCCCTCGGGCCGGGGGACTGCTGGTCAGTCTGGCTGCTGTACTGGTAGGTGACTTGGTCCCTGGCATTTGTCCCCACCTCACAGCCCCTACCCAGGGTGGCATGGTGTGACCGTCTGACCTCCTTGCCTAGGCTCATGCTGTGAGGACAGTTGCTCCCGTTGGTTCCCCACCCACAGCACGCCCAGACCTGCACGCGTGCGGCTGCTGTGGTGCCTGCGTCACCCTGTTTGATGTCAGGTGCTTGTCCTGGTTGCTCTTTCTCTAAATCTCGGTTCTTAACCACTTGGGGGTCACGGACAACTTTAATAAGAACATAACTTTGATGGATCCTTACCCCTAGGAGCGTCCACATTGTACTCAAAATTCAGCACATAATTCCCATGAGCCCGTGGCCTTGGGGGCCTATGCGTGCCCCTGGGAAGTCAGGCCCTGGTGGCAGTGGTGGCTTGGCTGACCCTAGGGCCAGGAGCCCATGGTGGGGACTGCGTCAGAGGCCGAAGGCATGCCCTGTGCATTTGCTCTCATTCCGCCCCTGGTGGCTGTGACATCAGCCGGGCTCTTTCGACCTAGACAGGCACGTATCCATTGCGAGAAGGGGACAGGATGGCACATGGCACCCCCTGCTTCATGCCCCCCCCCCCCGGGGAGCAGCCTGCTGGGGAGTGGAGCCACATTCCACATGCCAGCCCCAAGGGGGACACCCGTTGAGAGTGCTGCTGGGACCAGGCTGGCTGCGGAGGCTTGTGGTGTGAGCAGCCCTGCTCACTGCCCAGGGCGTAAGAGCCAGGCCAGGCCAGGGCAAGGGGGTGGCAGAGGCCCCACGGCCACTGGGACTGTCCCTGAGCCTTTAACGCGGTTGTGTTTTGTGGATTTGCAACAAGAAGACACAAACCGAGTCGACCAGACGTGCGGCAGCTGCTCCATCTGCCCCTGTGGTTCTTCGCTGGGAGTAGTCTGTCCCTGGACACTCAGGTGGCTTTGGGAGCAGGTAGCAGAGGCCCCCTGGCCAGCCTGCCCCTCACGCATGTCTGGGGCTGAGCTGATGAAGTGTGGCCGCCTCTGCCTTCCCTGGTGCTCTCGCTGGTTCCTGGGAGCCCCAGCCCAGGGCCATGTGGGCCGCCCTTGAGGTCTGGCTACCGCTGGTTTCCCTGCCGGGGAGGCCAGGCGAGCATTTACCCAGAGAGCCTCTGGGGCCCGCTGTGCACCTGGCCGGCCGCTGTTCCACACCCCTGGATGTGTGTGGTGACGCAGGGTGTCTGTAGGGAAGACGTGGCCCCCGCTGCAGGGAGCGCTGATGTGGTATGGAGGGAGGACAAGATGGACACGTACGAATAGCAAAGCTCAGGCTGGCGTGTGGGCTGTGCCACCGTCGGTCGCCAGTACTGGCTGCAGCCCCTTCCGTTGAGCACTCACAGCCAGGCCTGCACCATCGCTGGGGAGGTAGGTGCTCCTGCCCTCGTTCGGAGGAGATGCCTGCCTAGGGTCCCACGATGTCACTCCCTGGGCCTGTGTTCCAGCTGCTGTCTGTCTTTGCACCACTTCTGTCCCCAGTGGGAAGCCCTAGAGTCCAGGCTGCACTCTAAACCCTCCTGAGACGGAGACCAGGTGTGTCCTTCCTGCTTTAGGAAGGTTAGCCAGGCAGTTTTGATTCCGACGAGTCTAGGAGTTGTTTCTGTGCAGTGCCTGGGAACCCAGTAGGCACTCAATAAATGCTGACAGCGGAGCTGACTGCAGAGCTGGGGTGTGGAAACGCGGGGAGAAGGGCCAGGCCGGAGTGACGGAGCAGGGGCAGCTAGCGTGTGTGCTGGGGCCAGAGGAGGGTGCGACGAGGGGCGGGGCCTGCCGCCAGGGTCCCCCTGCCCGGTGGGCAGCTGCAAGCATTGGCGGGAGCGGGGTGATGTGGCTGCCGTGCTCTGTCTGACTCACGTGTGCTCTTCTTGAATCCCTCAGGGAATGTCAGTTCAATTCAGAGGGGACTCTTAGCCTGCAGTCGCCTGGGACCTGCTGACACTTCTTAGTAGTTTAAAGGGACAGCTCCATTTAAAACTCTCACCTGCTGCCTTACTTTTTCGCTTTATGGAAGAGTTTCTCTAGCTGAGGCTGAACCAGGTGGATTATACTTTGTAGGGGTCGGGGGTGGCGGCACAGAGTGGCCCCGAGATGCCGTGTGACCGTGTCTCTCCCCTTGCCCCCCACCCTTGGCCTTACAGGACGCCAACAAAGAGAGCAGCAAGGCCTCCAAGCCACACAAGGTGACCAAGGAGCACCGCGAGCGGCCCCGCAAGGACTCGGAGAGCAAGAGCTCCTCCAAGGAGCTGGAGCGTGAGCAGGCCAAGGGCTCCAAGGACGCCGCGCGGAAGCTGGGCGAGGGCCGGCTGCCCAAAGAGGAGAAGGCACCACCGCCCAAGGCTGCCTTCAAGGAGCCCAAGATGGCCCTGAAGGAGACCAAGCTGGAGAGCCTGTCCCCCAAGGGGGGGCCGCCAGCCCCGCCCCCACCCAAGGCTTCCAGCAAGCGGCCGGCTGCTGCGGACTCTCCAAAGCCCAGCGCCAAGAAGCAGAAGAAGAGCAGCTCCAAGGGGTCCCGGAGTGCCCCGGGCACCTCGCCCCGCACCTCCTCGTCCTTCTCAGATAAGAAGCCGACCAAGGACAAGAGCAGTGCCCGGGGGGAGAAGGGGAAGGCCGAGAGCGAGCCCAGGGAGGCCAGGAAGGCCCTGGAGGTGGAGGAGTCCAACTCGGAGGACGAGGCCTCCTTCAAGTCAGAGGTGAGAGCGGGTGGGGGGGCCAGGGAAGGGGCTGCTGGCTGGCGGGCAGTGTGGCAGGAGGGGTTCTGGAGCCCAGGGCTCAAGTCCTCACCAGGCAATGCGCCCACTTGCTCTCCGTAGCTCTGGGTGAGCCCCTGCGCCTTGTTGTGCCTCAGTTTCCCCTCCGCCAGGGTGGTGGCGCCTGCCCTGGGAGAGCTCTGCTGACAGCCCTGTGAAGCACCGCCTTCGGGTGCGCAGGGTCGGCGCTGCCTCCTCGTGCAGCCTCCGCGTGGGCAGGGGCTCAGTGGCTGCCGTGGGGTGAGCGTGTCTCACAGTTCTGCCTTGCCCAGCCACGGCAGGGTCAGCCTGGCGCGAGTCCCTCCCCCTGCTGACTGGGCGTCAGCAGCTCATCCTGCCCTCCCTGTCTGGAGGTTTCCTGATGGCCCCTGAGCTGTGCTCAGCTCCTGCCCAGGTGGCTGGTGGGGTCAGGCAGCGTCAGCCCTTCCCTCCCACTCGTGGGTGCCACACACAGCTGAGGCCTGGGGTGACGTTCTTGGTCGGCCCCACTGGTTTTCTAAGCATGGGGCCAGGACCCCTCTCAGAGGGCAGCCTGTCCAGAGGTGACTTGAGCCACAAGAGCCAGTGGCCAGAGTCGGCCTTGGAGCCAGCCTTCGTGTGGGCCTCAGATAGCGGCAGTGTCTTCCAGCGCTATGTCTGGCGTCTGGTGCTCAGCGCATGCATGAACGAATGAGGGATCGAGCCCCTCGCCTTTACTGCCAGTCCCACCCCCGATGGCCTTCTGTGGCTTCCACATCCTTACTTGCCCTCGAGGGGGGACGCTTTGCTTCCAGGGCTGCTGTTTGGGGCTCTGCTGGGACTTTGAAAGTGGTTCCCAGAGACGAAGCCAGTGGTGGTTTATGTCGTCAGCACTGATTCGTGGGCACCTTGTTGGAGGTGACGGTGCTGGCTGGGGGGTGACTGGCTCACCGACGTCCACGGGGCTGGTGAGGCTGAGTGCCCAGTGCTTCTTATACCGGGGTTGCCTGAAGACACAGTGTCACGTGCCCATGACCCTGAGGCCTGGTGCTGCCGCCCAGAAATCCCGGGCCTCACGCCCCTCCCAGCTGCAGGAGGGTCTGTGGGTGCCTTGTTGGTGCCTGAGTCTGCTCTGTCCTCCGTGTGTGCAGCAGCCACAGCTCTGGGCAGGTGCTAGAGGACATCCTGTCCTATGACCAGGCATGGCGTCTCTGGGGCACCACAGGCCCTGCCCTGCAGACTGGCCCCAGCAGTGTTGCTGCTCTGTCATGGGACACCTGGGATGTTCTTGGGGAACTTTCCACCACCTCGGGGCTGCCACTCCGGGTGGGGGCTGGATGTGTGGCATCTGTGCTCGGGACTGGAGGTGCTGGGGGGCGCGTGGGGGTTTCCTCTTGGCTGAAGAGGCCCATCCCACCCGCTGAGGGACTTCCGAGAGGTCCCTGACATTTCCTAGCCCAGGGGGCCCCGGAGGCTGGCTGGGTCAACCCCTCCCTGGAGGGGAGGCGCAAGGGAGGCGCAAGGCTGCGCTGCTGGGGAGCTGTGGCCGCCACACACAGTCAGAGTCACCTCCTCCCCGCCCTGCTGTGCCCGGCCCAGCCCCCCACTTCCTCCAGCTGCGGCTTTGGGGTCTCCTTGGCCCTTGGGCTTCCTGAGCCAGTCAGTACTGTGCGCGCATGGGCCAGCCGCGGGCCCTGGGTGCTCTGGGTGGCCGAGCACCCGCATGTGCTCTGGCAGCTCTTCTGACCACGCTGCCTCCAGGCCCTTGACTGAGACCGTTTCTGGATTCTTCTGCTCCCTGCCCCCTTGGGTTCACATGGAAGGAAAAGGCACAGGCGGCTGAGAAGCTCGTCTGGGGCCCTCCCCGCCCCTGTCCTGCTGACCCTGGGTGGTGGGAGTGAGAGTGTGCACGGAGTGGGGGGCCTAGGACCCTCCCCCAGCCCACCTCCCCACAGGGGAGTCCCCGCCCCAAGTTTCCAGAGGGCGGAGGGAGGACTGTGCAGGCAGCTGGCAGTTCCTTTATAGATGGGGAAACTGAGGCTTAACATGGGAGCACGCTGGCCCAAGTAGAGAGGCCAGGTGGTGAGGCTGGGGTGGGTAAGGACAGGGCCGCTGAGGCCATCACCTCTTACCTTATTCTGCCCCTCTCCCAGGACAAGCACTCAGCTCTGCGCGCGTGGGGTGGGGGGGGCGCCTGGCTGTCTCGGCATGTGTTCGGGGGGTCAGGTCTGTGTGGTGCCCCTTCTGGGGCTGGGAACCCTGCATGGGATTTCCCAGGGAGGGTTCCCCAGGGAACACCATTTGCCAGTGGGGGGTTGTTGGAAGGGGCTGGTGTGGGTGGGGTCAAGTGCGGTAAACCCTCGAGAAGACCCCTCTCACGCGCCAGGCACCTGCTGAGCCCTCTGAGTCTGCGCCTGCAGGGTGGGGGCTGCCTGGGGAGGGGCTCCTTTGCCAGGGTCTTCCCTCAGGTGGCACCTGCCAGGCCCCAGCAGGCCCGCCGGCTCCCTCCTCCGGCCCCTCCCTCCCTCCTGACAAGGGTGCTGAAGCCACTGAGTTCCCCCAGATGGGTTCCCCGAGGTGAGGGGGCTGCACATCCCCCATCCCACGGACAGGCCTGCTGGGTCTGAGACAGCCTTTGTGGGGCCTGGGAGGCCCTGAGCAAGGGCAGCTCTCTGAGCTGCGGACCCTTCTGCCCTCCAGAGCCCGTCCAGCCCCTGGGCCTGCTGTGTCCCCTGGCGCACACTCCTGTGGGGCAGCCCCATTCTGGCCCAGCCTCAGCACTCAGTGACCGATTCCTGTCCACCTGGGAGACGCAGCCCCAGGCTCCCCAAGTACAAACACGCACGCATGCATGCGTGCGCACCTGCTCTATCTCCCTCACCCGCGCATGTTGCCCCCTTGTGTCCTTGTCACGATTGTTTTTGCCTTTACTGCCCCCTGGTGGCTGAGCCCAGATGGACGGCTGCAGGAGGAGGAAGGACAGGCCAGGCTGGTCCACGGCATCTGTCACACGAGTGTGCACGCGCTTGTCAGCGCCTTGGGCAGTCGAGGGTGGTTGCGGCACCTGGGCAGGGAGATGGAGCCATCGGTCATCCCTGAGCCCCAGGACGGCATCTGGGTCTGGAAGAGAGGCTTTCGCACCCAGTTCTCCCGTTCCAAACCTTTCTGGGACACCTTCCTGGGTGGGAGCAGGACCCACACACCTTTGAGACCTCAGACCTTGCCCCAGCCTCCCTCCCTGAGAGCTGTGTAGTCCCCTGTGCTCGTGCCCACGCAGGTGGGAAAGCCCAGAGGTACTCTGAGCTGTCGCCTGGCACTACTGGAAACCTAGAAGTGCCTCAGCGTGGAAGTCCGGGGGTGTCCTGGGGCTGGGGTGGTGGCCGCAGGCTGCGCCTGGCCCCGGGTGCCGGCTCCCTGCAGGTTCTCAGCAGCGGCACAGGTGGGTGCCTTCAGGACCCTGGGGGTGTCTGGGGCAGACCTGCTGGGTGTCAGCACTACCACAGGGTGTTTGCTGTGCCCCTTTCTCAGCTGTAAGGTGATGGCTCTTCCCTTTCTCCCCTCCCCGCCCGCCCCTCCGTGGGGTGAAGTCCGCCCAGTCAAGCCCGTCCAACTCCAGCTCCAGCTCAGACTCCAGCTCAGATTCGGACTTTGAGCCGTCTCAGAACCACAGTCAAGGTGTGTAACGAGAGCTGCCGCAAGGGGGACCCACGGGAGCAGCCCCGCCCAACTGGAGGCCGGCGGGTGCAGATCCGGTGGGAGTTGCAGGCTCCCCACTCCTCTGCACGTGGTTGACTGGCAGCGGGGCCTGCTCCACACCAAGTTTTGGCCGGCAGCGCACCCCGAGTCTGGAAGCTGCTGCTGCCACCAGAAAGACTTATTGACGACTTGCTGGAGGGTGGGAAGGGCAGGCCGCAGGCCAAGCTGGGCTCTGCTGTATCCCCACAGATCCCCGCCTGTAGGATTTTTAATGGCTTGATGGGGTCTGTATTTAAAAGCAAAACAGGCTGGCGCAGTGGCTCATGCCTGTAATCCCAGCACTTTGGGAGGCCGAGGGCTGGGAGTTTGAGACCAGCCTGGGCAACATAGCAAGACCCCATCTGTACAAAAAAATAGAAAAATTAGCTGGGTGTGGTGGTGCGCACCTATAGTCCCAGCTACCCGGGAGGCTGAGACAGGAGGATCGCCTGAGCCCAGGAGGCTGCAGTGAGCTGTGATTGCACCACTGCACTCCAGCCTGGGTGACAGAACGAGACCCCATCTGGGAAAGATAAACAAATAAATAAAATAAAAGCAAAACAGGACCAGGTCGCTGAGCCCTGGTCCCTGGGCCCATCCCTGTGCTGATGAGGGGCCAGTGCCCTTCTGATGGGGACCTTGCCAACTGCCAGAGACCCTGGGCTCCGGCCCCTCCCTGCTCCGTGGGGCGTCCCCTCTTCTGCCCATCCCACCCCATCCCCAGGACCCTTGAGGTGCTGGGTGGCTGTGGTTAGGGCAGAGCATGTTCTGTGGCCGAGGCAAGCTGTCTGCATCTCTGCCCTCTCCCTGCAGGCTGGCCGGAGGCGGGTTGGGGAGGGTGCTTTCTGGGGAGAGGGCGTAAGGCCTGGTTGGCTGTGCCAGCCTGCTTGGAATTGGGAGGGCCCTGGGGGAGCCATCTGGAGCCCACGGGCCCTGGCCCAGACCCCAGCACCCACCATCGGCCAGCGGCAAGCTTCCCTCCTAGTGGGATGGACTGAGAGTCTTCTTCCCACACGGCTGCAATCCTGGGGGACGGGGGATAGGCGCGTGGGGGGGTCTGGCCTGGAATTCAGCCGAGCAATCGCGAGGGGGCTGGGGGATGGGACCCTGGAGCCGCACTCCCTCCAAGTGCTCTTATCTGCGGGGAAGGGGGGGAACCTGCGGGAGCAGGATCACATGACCAAGGTAATTGAGGGCTTTGTGTCCCTCTGTTGCCTTGGTAACAGGAATATAAACCAAGATGCCGTCTGTAGGGGACTGGAACCCTGGGCCTCTGGAGAAAGGGGCGGACGGGGGGCCGGGTGCAGCAGAGGGTACTGCCGAGGGGTTGGGCTGGCCCAAGTCGGGGTGCAGGCTGGACAGGGGGATCCCGTGCCCCCCGGGCAAAGCGTCTGTGCCCCTGGCTCCAGCTCCCGAGCCCTCCCCGGCGAGGGCTGGCTCGTCCTGGGCTCTCGGCAGAGCCGGCGATCTCTGCGCCTGGGAGCAGAAGAGAGGGTCTCCCCTGGCTGTGGCAATGGAGGGGCCCCGCGGCCCTGCTGCAGGACAGGGACCTGAGGCCTGCGAGCAGGGCCAGGAAGGTAGGGAGGGGAGGGGAGCCAGGGGGTGCTTCAGGAAGGGGTGGCCGTGGGCACGGGGCAGTTCCTGGAGGGGGCGGGCAGGCCCCGGCAGAGCCACCTCTCAGGCGGCTGCTGTGTGCACTGGGGTTGTCAGTGTCAGGAACCTTGGTGTGGCCCTGCGGGGGAGGGGCCGCAGGCTCAGCCGGGCCTTCCCTTCTCTACCCCTCCCCTGCCCTCCCGCCCTAGGACCCCTGCGCTCCATGGTGGAGGACCTGCAGTCGGAGGAGTCCGACGAGGACGACTCTTCGTCAGGCGAGGAGGCTGCCGTCAAGACAAACCCGGGGAGGGACTCCAGGTGACTGGGCCCAGCGGGGAGCTAGCAGGCACGGGCGGGGGCCCAGGGTGACCCTCTGGGTCTGCTGTGGTGGGGGGGCCTGGTGCCAGTCATGGAATCAGCAGGCTGGGGGCGAGGCCAGGGCTGGAGAGTCCCCTGGGAGGATTGGGGGGTCCCCAGGCAGCCTCAGGGTGGGCCAGAGCCGTGTGTTCTCTCCTGGTCACCCGATAGGGCACCTCAGGCAGTGTGCTAACTGGTGGCTGCCAGCAGGGGTGGGCTGCCCGGCAGCAAGGGTGGGGTGTTCTGAGAGAGGAGCCCAGTCGCTGTCGGAGAAGGAGGCTGGGAGAGGAGGCCATGCCAGAAGCCCGAAGCAGCCCTGTGTGGAGGGCAGGGGCGGGGAGCAAGCGGTTCTTCTGCTCTCGGGCCAGGGGACCCCCCCAGTTTCCCATGTGTGTTCCACGCACTAAGGACCCACCGAGAACCCTGGCCTGGGGCTTGCAGACGGCCAGTGTGGGGAGCAGCTTTTGCTGCCTGCGGTTCTTTCCCCTGCACGGTGCAGGGTGGGCTGGGGCACGTCCTTTGGATACCCCCAGCCCCTTGGCGTGATCCCACCGGGGTGGGGGAGCCTTGGCCCCAGACACATGGGCCTCAGGAGAGGTTTGGGGGTGTCCAGGGCAGTGGCCCAGTCTGCGTGCAGCTCTCCTCCTTGCCAGGCCGAGGCCTCCAGGCCTCCGTGGCTCCTCTTCAAGACGGGGTTGGTCATCGACCTGCACCCAGCAAGGCGCGTAGGAGCCTTCCAATTGTCCGTGCTGGTTAAACCGCCTTCCCGAGAGCCGCAGCTGTGATGCCCTGAACAGGCCTCCCTGTGGGCAGCGCTCCCCACGCCGGCCCACACGTGGGGGCTCTTGGCCTTCAGAAGGCCCAGGCCCAAGGCCCCAAAGGGGTCTTAGTCTCTGGACACAAGGAGGACAGGGACTTCCCTGGGACGGGTGGTGGCTGTTGGCTCCTGCCTCCTTTGGTGACGTTCAGTGCACATTCTGCTTGCACCGAGAGCCGTGAGTGGGGACAGGCCGACGGTCCCATTCTTGAGGGGCTCACAGCAGGGCATAGGGGCCTAGGCAAGGAAGCGCCTCTTGACGTCCTCCAGGGGCAGCTGCGAGGTCCCGGGCAGGGCAGGGGCTGCCGTTGTCAGGGAAGGGGCTACACAGGCCACGACATTGGAGCTGGTGCCGGCAGAGCCCCCACTCACCCTGCTCTGCCCCCGAGAGGCCCTGAGTCTCCGCCGGTGCCACCTGTGGGACACAGGGCAGAGGCGGGTGGGAGCAGTGGGCAGGGAGTGTCGCCTGGGCAACTAGAGCCACAGCTGGGGCGAGACCTGCAGCCGCCACAGCCAGAGTCCCCGAGTCCGGGAGGCAGCCGCACTCCCGACGCTCTTTGCGGGAGAGGTTCAGGGAGGCGCGGGAGAAACAGGCCGGAGCATCGTGGCCTCTGGTGCATTCTGGCGCTTCGTTCAGCAGCGAGGCCTGGGATGTACCGTGTTTTACATGTGTCATGGAGTGACAGATGTCAGGGCTGCTTCTCGCTGGATCCAGCCCGGAACATCCCTGACGAGCTGGGTCCCAGGCGGCCAGCGAGAGAAGCGGCTTCTGAGGAAAGCTTTGTGGGTTCAGGCCGGGGGGTTTCTGGATGTGGAGTGACCAAGCGCCTCCCCCTCGGTGGTCGTGGATGTTTGTCCCATGCAGTCCCCCTGGCAGCCTCTCTCAGATGAGGAAATCGAGGCAGGGGTGCAGGAGCTGCCCACCAGGAGGTGGGAGGCTGAGAGCCGGGACTTGTCGCCATCACCCCCACCCCCACCATGGAACCCAGGAGGCCCTCGTTCCCGAGTGCGCGGGGTTGGCTGGCGGCAGGGTCAGAGCAGGGCGGAAGGGGAGGGCGGTTGTCCTCAGGCAGTTAGAGGAGCACACCCAGCCAGCCTTGCTGGGGGCCAGTGGCTTCGTGCCTGGCGGGTTCTGGGTCTCTCTGGGCTGGGCTTGAGGCGGCCCCAGAGCCACTCAGAGCGAGCCTCGGTGCTGCTGGGCTGCTTTCCCCTCGGCGTGTTCCATTCCTTTCCTTTTCGTCAGCAGTAGCTGCGCAGAGTCGAGAGGGGTTGTCTGGGGGACCCATCTTGGCACACGGGAGGGGGCTGGGTGGGGTGGCAGGGACCTGACAAACCGTGTCGGTGTTCAGGTTGAGCTTCAGTGACAGCGAGAGTGACAACAGCGCTGACTCCTGCCTGCCCGGCCGTGAGCCCCCACCCCCCCAGAAGCCACCCCCACCCAACAGCAAGGTGAGCCCGGGAGGCCCTGGGTGTGCCCCACCATCAGGGCTGCTCAGGCGGCCCTGTCCCCATCCCAGAGGCTGAGGGTGGTGGGCGCAGGGAGGCTTGGTTCACGCCCAGGCCCCAGGATGGGCAGGCCCTGACTAAGCGGGGCTAGCCGCAGTGTCCCCGGACGGGATTTCGACAGGGCCTTGGTACTGTCCTGGGAGTGCTTGGGGGAGCGTCCCTGCAGCAGGGCCAGGCGTGGGCCAGAGCTCAGCGGGCATCTGTGGTTCCCCTGCAGGCATCAGGCCGGAGGAGCCCCGAGTCCTGCAGCAAGCCCGAGAAGACCCTCAAGAAGGGCGCGTATGACAAGGTGGGGGCACAGCCAGTGGGGGTCCCCAAACCACCCTGAGCCCCTAGAGTCAGACCGTCCTGGGCGAGGGTGGCCCTCACTCCTCTTCCTGGCACTGCCAGGGCAGGCTCCTGCAGCCCCAAGCTGACATACACTCTGGTGGCATCAGCCCTCCTGGGGCAGAACTGGCCACCTCTGCCCAGGGTGGTGCAGGGCCTGGGAGTGGGGGGGCTGGGACAAGCTCCTCCCCGGCCCCTACTGAGCCCTCCCCGCCCCCCACAGGCCTACACAGACGAGCTGGTGGAGCTGCACCGCAGGCTGATGGCCCTGCGGGAGCGCAACGTGCTGCAGCAGGTACCGACCCTCCCTGAGCACCGGGCGGCTGAGTCCTGAGGGTGGGGGGCCCGGCGGGGCACGGGCAGACCTGTCCTTGGCGCCCCGGTCCCTGAAGCCGCCCTGCCACCGCTTTGCAGATCGTGAACCTGATCGAGGAGACCGGCCACTTCAACGTCACCAACACCACCTTCGACTTCGACCTCTTCTCCCTGGACGAGACCACCGTGCGCAAGCTGCAGAGCTACCTGGAGGCCGTGGCCACATGACCCTGGGCCGGGTGCCGGCCCCCCGCCGCCAGGGTCCTGGGAGGCCGCGGCTGGGCCCCTCTCTGCCGACTGGCGCGCCCGCAGCACTGCCTTAGCGACCGCCCTGTCCTCGGCCCTCACAGCCAGCTGCACTTTCCTCGGCGGCCCCCCACCCGCCTCCCCAGCTCCCGGGCCAGGCGGGACTGGGCCGGCACTGCTGCTCCCAGCCACGCAGAGCCGCCCCCCGGGCTCCCCTGGGAGAGCGGCTGCTGCCGAGGGCGGCTGTGGGCCTTGCTCCCCAAAGGGGAAGAGACGGTCGCGGCTGGGGGCCCCTCGCCCGGCCTCGGGACCAGCCCTTGCCCCACAGCGGGCTGTGTGGCACGATTTCACTGCCAGGGCGTCTCTGAGCAGCCGGACCGACTGCTAGGGGCCGTCCCCAGGCTCCCCAAATGGTTCAGAACATGCCCCCCACCCGCCTGGACCTCAGAAGGCCCCGCCTGTGCGTCCGAGTGTCGTCCGTGTGGACCGAGCGCAGGCCTCTCCGCCGGCTCCCGCGCTGGGACTCCGTGCTGTATAGTTCTCTTACATTATGTGTGTGTGTGCGCTGTCTGTGCAAGAGCCGCGTCGGGTGTGCGCGTCAGGGCAGCAGTGCACGTGGGGGGGTGCGTACGGTGGGGCTTGTAGGTTAAGATGTCTCCACGGGTCTTGTGGTCGAGGCGCACGGAGTCCTCCTCCTCTGCTGTTCCAAGGACGCCGCCTCCTGCCGGGGCTCCCGGGCCTGTGACACTACATGGGGGCGGCGAGTCCTCAGGGCGCCAGGGAGCCGCGCGCTCCGCTCCGGGTGTCTGCCCAGCACCACCAGTCTCCAGGGACGGAGTCAACGCCCCGGAGCTCATCCTCCTCCCATGGGACCCTCTTCCTCCCTTTTGTTGATCAAGTCTTCGAACTTTGAAAAAAAAAAAAATGAGCTTTTGCCAAATAAGACGGGATAGTTTGTGGAGTTTTCCGAGGCACATCGGACTCCGAATTGACCCCTTGAGCGTGGGCCTCGGCCGCGCAGGCCAGGTCGCTTGGCTGGACTGGCCCCCCAGGCTGCCTTTCTCTCCGTGGCCGGCCGGCCCCCCACCGCCGCGGCCCACGCTGGTGCCGAGCCTAAGACTCACTCCTTGTTCGTCCGAGATCCTCCCGGGGCCGGACCGGTCCTCCCTGGCTCTCCCTTCCAGGACCAGGGACTCTCGTGGGGCCCACCCACCTCGGGTGCGTTCCTGGGGGCTGGAGGCCTGTCGCCTCTGCTTCCCCAGACCTTGATCCGAGGCTCCTCTAGCCTCCACCCCCGACTTCGAGTCGGTTCAAGTCCTGGTGCCCTGACCAAGATGGGGGAAGAGAGCTGGGGCCCCGCGGGGGGCTGCCCTCTCTCAAGCCCGTGGTTAGATGGCTCCTCCCCCCAGCTGTGAGGGGGTGAGGGCTCCATCTTCCCCCCCTGAGGTCCCTAATCTTGTCCCTGCTCTGATTCTGTCTGTCAGGCAGATCCTGAACACTCCTTGGGGTGAACCCTGTCTCCAAGGCTTCCCCCAGCGCCAGCTATCTGGGGAACACCCCAGAACCCCTGGGGAAAGGCCTGAGATGTGTGGAGGAAACCTCCGGGGCTCCTGACCACCTCCTCTGCCTCTGTCCCGGCCCCACTGCCTTCAGGTATCAGGAAGAGCGAGGCAGGCCCCGTGCCCCTCTGCCCTTCCAGGCAGGCCGGTAATACTCAGAGTGGAAGCCTTCCTGCCTGCTCCCGAAACCCTCCAGACATTGGACGGGAGGAGCTGGCCTGGGGTGGGCAGGAGGCAGCAGCTGCTGCTCCACCCTCCATGTACAGAGGCCGCCAGGGGTCTCAGGCCCTGGGCTTTCTCCTTCACGAGGATCCCTTGGGATCCACACAGCGACGTGAATAGCCTTCCACTCAGCCGGAGGAGGACCGGGCTCTCCTGCCTGCCCTCAGCGGCCAAGCGTCTGGCCCTTCCTGCTGCTTCCAAGGCCCCCGGAAGCACCGACCCACGTCTCACTTACCTCCTCTGGCCGGAAGGTGTGCTCACCGCTGTCCTCCAGAGCTGCTCTGGGCCCAGGGCTGGCTCCGTGACCACCCGATGGACATGCCAGGCAGCCAGGGCCCCACCCCCGCCCCCACTGCCCGGCGGCTGGGCCCAAGAGGGCTTTGGGGACGCTTCCATAGGAAGGGGCCCGGCACTTTGTGATTGCCGCGTGTTTTGTGTTACGCCGCCCGCCCCCAGTGCAAACCCCTGTGTTTTGCTCTCTCCTGAACAAAGTGTAAACCGACGCCGGAAAGCGAATGGTATCGAATACCTTTCTTTGCCCATAAGGGTTTTTACAAAGAATGTGTCTCACTAGGAACTAGGACACTTCGGCCGAGACCAACTCCTGGATAAAAGGAATAAGGAGAATTGTGTTTGTAACGAGTTACAGGATTGTTTCTGTCCTGGATTTTAAACTTTTTGTTAAATTGTGAAATTATGGAGGAGTTTTATAGGAAAAAAGTGAAATAAAGTCAGATGGGAAAGCAAACTTGCACATCTGTGTGGTTCCTCCTGCTGAGTCGGGAGGTGGGGCATGCGGTAGCATGGGATGCCCTATCCTACTCTCTTCCAGTGCCTCCAGATCAGTGACCAGGGAGGGAGGGAGAGCCGGGGGCGGGGAGTGGGTTGGAAAGCAGTTCTGATTTCATAGGGGAGGTGGATGGATGGATGGATGGATGGATGTGGGTGGATGGAGTTGGATGGATGGATGGATGGATGTGGCTGGGCGGGTGGAGTTGGATGGATGAAGGTGGGTAGGTGGATGGTTAGACGGATGAGTTGATGGATGGACGGATGGACAGATAGAAAAACATGGACAAAGACATCCTTTGCCAGAAGCCCAGGTGCCTGTGTGTCAGTTTACCTATGGTGGGTTTTTCTCCAGCCTCGGTGTGGCAGAGCTGAGTGGACCTCTAGGAGACAGAGCTCTTGCTGCTGCAAGATCAGCTCTTGCTGAGCAGATCTGTCCACTTGGGGCTCCAGCTCCACCCAGAGGAGCAGCAGTTCATTCCTGAGTGGCCCACACCAGAAGCTGATGCCCTCTGGCCACCCCGCCTGCAGTGGCAGCCACTGATGGAGATCACAGACAGAGATCTGCAGGCTTTGGGGGACGGTTGCAGATCTGAGCTTCTAAAGTAGCATTATGGAGTGAGAGGGTCTAGAGTGGCCCCCAGGGTTCCTGGACCCCCATGACACAGTGGAAGGACTGTTTATGTGTAAAAATATTGTAGAGCTTTCACTAAGGGTTATCTCGAGGACCCTTCACAACCACTTGATGAGGCACTGCTGTTGCAATCCCCACTGACAGATGAGGAAACAGCCTCAAGGAGCTGACTTACCTAAGACGATACTAGCATGCGTATTTCCACAGCTCGGGCCAGGTGTGCGCGACATCGTAGCTGTCGTACTCATGTGCTCACTCACCAGTGGTCTGGACCGCTGACGGGCATCGTGGAGAGCTTTATAGAAAGATGCCAGAGCCCATCCTTGGAAGCTGTGGTTCTATAGCTCTAGAGCAAGACCCTCCAGAAGGATCCACAGGTGACTTTGAAGCCTACACATTTCACTGTAATAACTGCTTTGGCTGCATCCTGCGCGTTTCGAAATGTCATATTCTCATTCAGTTAAATTATTTCCTAATTCTCACTGTAACTTCTTTGACCCCTAGATTATTTTAAAAGCTTCTTGCTTAATTTCCGAACGATTGGTAATTTTCTAATTTTATTCTAGTTGGGATCTCCTGTGGTCAGAGATCATTTAGTGATTTATTTCAATTCTTTGGAATTTGTCAAGACTGACTTTACAGCCTAGCATATGGTCTGTTTTGGTAAATGTTTCTTACATTTCTGAAAAGAGTGTCTATTCTGTTGGATGTCGTATTTTATAAGGGTCAGGTTACTCTTCAAATATTCTATATTATCTATTTTTTCCTTTAATTCTGCCCCATTTTGAAGTTACGATAGTATGTATAAATTTATAATTGTTTTACTTTCCTGGTAGATCGTTCCTTTTTATTATAAATGTCCCGTTTTATCTCTGGCAGTACTTCTTGTCTTTAATCTACTTTGATATTACTATAGCAACTCTAATTTTCTATTTGTCCCATCTTTTATTTTTTTATGTTTTGAGACAGAGTCTCGCTCTGTCACCTGGGCTAGAGTGCAGTGGCCTCATCATAGCTCACTGCAACCTCGAACTCCTGGGCTCAAGTGATCCTCCTGCCTCAGCCTCCCGAATAGCTGGGACTATGGGTGCCACCTCATCTGGCTAATTTTTCTATTTTTAGTAGAGACGGGGTCTTGCTTGTGCTCAGGCTGGTCTTGAACTCCTGACCTCAAGCGATCCTCCCACCTTGGCCTCCCAGAGTGCTAGGATTACAGACGTGAGCCGCCACGCCTGGCCTCGGGCGCTATTGACACCTCCCTGCCGCACAGTTCTTCCTGGCATGTCCTGAACACTGCGGGGTGCTGCGTAGCACCCCGGCCTCCACCCCCTCCACGCCAGGAGCGTAGCTCCCCAGCGGCTCCCCAGACACGACAACCGCAGATGTCTCCAGACACCACCAAGGGAGCCCTGGTGTAGACTTGCCCCCAGGTGAGAGCCACTGCTTTGGTGAACTGATTTTATTATTCTTTTCCATTTAAAGCACCTCCCCAAGGAGAGGCATGCTGGTTAATAGCAGGTCCCTCACTGGCACTGGTTTCCCTCCCTCTAGGAATCGGCTCCTTGATAAGGAGGGACACAGAGAGGGGGATCGCGGCTCCTTTCACAGAGAATGGAGCCCACACACGGCGCCCTCTCCTGGCCTCTGCTAATTGTCCTCGTAAAACTTTTCGATCTCGGCTTGGTACATCTTGGCCACGATGCCCCGCTTCAGTTTCGTGGTCGCCCCTGTAACAGAAGCAAGTCCGAGGTGGGGCCTTCCCACCCACTGCTCCTGGGAGGTCCCCACGTGGCTGCTGGCAGCCCCCGCCACCCTACAGGACAAGGCGTTGAGGTGTCAGAGGGCCGAGTCCGTTGTAGGGACGCAGGCGACAGACGGGCATGGGGCAGCAGGACGCTTTGACTGGGCAGCCAGCAGAACAGGACTGGGTGCCGGAAGCCCATCCCAGAGCACCCTGAGAATTCCCACATGTGAGACTTAGTGGAAGCGCTGGTTCAAACCGCAGATGCCAGGCCAGGCACGGCAGCTCACGCCTGTAATCCTAGCACTCTGGGAGGCTGAGGCAGGACAGTCACTTGAGCCCAGGAGTTTGAGACCAGCCTGGGCAATATAGTGAGACCCCATCTCTATAAAAAATTTTTTAAAAATTAGCCAGTCATGGTGGTGCATGCCTGCAGTCCCAGCTACTCGGGAGGCTGAGGCAGGAGGATCGCTTGAGCCCAGGAGTTGGAGACTGCAGTGAGCTTATGATGACTCCACTGCACTCCAGCCTGGGTGACAGAGCGAGATCCTGTCTCAAAAAATGAAACAAACTGCAGAGGTCAGGGACCCAACCCCAGAGGTCTCAGGCATTTTAACAAGCACACTAGGGGAGTTGGGTGTGAATGGCCCTTGGCCCATGCTTTGGGAAACGGGGTCTGTAGATAAAGCCCAACTTCTCCAACACGGTCGTTTTGAGGGAGGCTCTCTCAGCACACCAAAAGCCAGGGATCAGGGCTGGTGTGCGATCCTAGGCTGCCGCTCACCT